TCTTCATTTGATTTGTCTTGCGTTTGGACATGTTGGGCAAGTCGGCAAGTGCGAAGGCATAATCCAATATTTGTCGTGACAGTCAGGCGTGACAACGATACGCTGAATTTCGTGGGGCTTCTCGCGAGCGTGTGGGGTTTGAAATCGAGACTTGACGTCATGAGGCTCGCGGATGGTATGAAATCAGTTTGGCACCACCCGATATCGCTTAAATGCGCTCTATCTCTTCTTTGCATCGGGATATTCAATGTTCTGATTTCCGTTTGTACGCTGAGTGGATGGTAGCGTGTCGTCGAGCCACGGCGAACGGTGCGTCGGCATCAGCGCCTGCCGATGACGGCCGCTTTCGCCACCCGTCAACAGCAGGGGTGGCTGCTTCACGCGCGGCGGGGCACGGCCCTCCACTCGCCCGCGCGCCGCTGGGCCCGGCCGGTGGCCTGCCAGACCGCGCCCGCCGGAGACCGGACCGAGCAGAGTCACGAGCCCCGAGCCGGGCCGGCGGCGCAGAGGTGCCGTTCGGGACGAGGGGGGGGGGGGGGGGCTGCACGGGCGGTGAAGGACGCCGTAGCTCAGGGGTGACGTGCTGGGCTGATGAGTGTGTGGGTCTGGACCTAAGAGTAGAGTTTGCCTTGGTTATGGGCCTGCAGAGTCCAGATCTGCAGTCGTAGACATCGATTCCGGGATCCAGACATACAGTCATCGATCCACCTGATCCGCGGTCCAGACCTATAGTCGTGGACCTACAGGGTCGAGGATTCAGACCTACAGTCGTGAACCTACAGGATTCAGGGTCCAAACTTACAGTCGTGGACCTACCGGGTCAAGGATCCGGACCTACAGTCGTGTGTCTGCAGGGTTCAGGGTCCAGATCTACAGTCGTGGATCTAGAAGGCTCAGGGTCCAGATCTACAGTCTTGAATCTACAAGGTCATAGACCTACATGCCGCGCAGTCGGGGTTTTCAGACCCACCGCCGGCTGTGTCCAAATTTCCTCGCTTTCTAGGGCCTGTCAGGCGGTCAGATCGCACGGCCGTGGCTTCGAGGCTCCCACCGACTGTGTTGGGTTCTCCCTGCTGCAGCACGCGTCGCGAACTGTGGCGCCGGTGGCGGACGCGTTGACACGGGTCGCAAACCAACGGAGCGTGTAGCACGGTCATCACACCGAGCGGAACAGAGGGTCGTGTCAACGCTCCAGGGAGCCGGCGCGCGGCCTCGCCCCAGCTCACTCTATCGCATGGACCGGTGCCTTGGCCCACTCCATCGCATGGACCGGTGCCTCGGCTCACTCCGTCGCATGGACCGGTGCCTCGGCTCTTTCCGTCGCGGTGCATGGGCCGTTGCCTCGGCTCACTCCGTCGCATGGACCGGTGGCGACGCCGACAAAGCGGGCGGCTGCTCGTCTATCCGCTGGCTGCCAACTCGCGCCGCGCGCCGGCCGTCAACGGCGTGGTGACGTCACGCACCGGTGACGTCACGGACAAGCTATTGTTACCGCGGTAACTGGTGTCGTGTCCTGGCTGCATTGCCTTGTCGGTTGGTACGCGGTCAGCGGTTTCAATTTGAAGGCGATTGAGGGAATGTCGCTGCCATCCTCACACCGAGACAGTCTGCATGTTGTGTTTGGTTTAGACCTGCTCCAGTGCAGCCCACCCTGCGTTGTGCTGGGTTAAAGAGTGTCCCACTTTCGTGGCGTTTTGTCTCCGCCTTGGTGGCTTCAGACGTTGCAAAGCACGTTTTTGTTGCAAAGCACCTTTTGGACCAAGATCTCCCTGCGTGGTGCGAAGTTTAGCCCTGTTCTTAGTGACCTTGCATGCTGGTCGTCCAAATGTCGCCAAATCTCGTCGTTGATCGCCAATGTCGGCCCGGCAACCGCACCTCGCCAGAGCAGTGCGAAGCGTTGGGGCCAGACAATCGCAGAAGGGGCTCTGCGGGTTTCACCGCGACGTCTAGTGACCGCCCCGCAAGGCATGGGTGTGTCGCCGAGCCGCAGACACCCATCGGACGGCCCTAGCTTTGTCGTGACAATCTTGGCGCGGCGCGAATATTAGTTATCTTATATATATATATATATATATATATATATATATATATATATATATCTTATATATGATATCTTAGGCTATGGCGCGAATATACGCCCTTGGTTCGAACCATGGCGTGCGTCCGATTGTCCGTGGTATTATCTTTGTGTTTTCTTTCGTTGACAAATGTAGGCATTCGCTTTTCTGTACTTTTGGTTTGTCCGAACTTTTTCAGTTTGCAGTTTTCGCCGCAAAATGTTCGGTATTTATGGCCTTTTTACAGCCTACTTCAAACTGCTGTTTCGGGTCACGTATTGCCACGATATTTTGATTTACGTTTCCAGGTCGTGGAGATTTTTTTCAGGCTTGAATGCCACCAGCCGCATACCTAGACTCAGCCGCTTGGCCGCGGCGGGGAGGCGCCGACTTTAAGAACATGAGCCAAGGCAACCAGTCCGCCGCATTTCCGGCCTGATGTGCTTGATCCTCCTGTCTATCTCGGGGAATAGACGGGATTACATGAGTTTTACTTATCGTGTCTGCCGGTATTAGCACAGGGATGTTTAGCATACGGTCCGATGTGATGTTCTCTGGTGGCAAACGAAAGCACGTGCGTCACTTGTCAATGAAAACCCTTCGGCTGGTGCTGTAAAATTCTTATATGGGATACAGTAATTTTATTTTTTCTTAGGCTGTTCTGCCAGTCATACTGCATGAAAGCTCAACCGCATTGCTGTGTCGCCTAACACATTCATCTGTCGTCAGTCTGAATTAAAAATAAATCGCATTTCTGCGAAATGAAAATGCGCCTCATGTCCGGCCAAACATAGACGCTGGAGGGGGTGGGGCCATTTTGTCGTCATGGCAACCAAAGCGTGGGGCTTAGATTATTTTGGACGTTATGGGGGCTACGCTCCGGCACAACAGCACACTATTTAGTTCATTGAGCAGTTTGCAGTTTATCCTGGTACTTGTTGCTGATCTTTTTGGGTTGATTTACATCTGATCGTATGTTAAGTTCAGGCGTGATAGATCAAGAGCCATTGGGCTTTGGATGAAGCTTAAACGACTCAATACCTCATTCGTTTATGCAACTTATACCAAGATTCCGAGATCATCGCGAACTTTGCACGGACACGGAAGTCAAACACGCGTACGGAAAGACACTGATGTGGAAATTACCGAAATGGACAGCACACGAACAGCGCAACAGATACGGGACTGCGTTAATATTGGCAACGGGAAGCACCTTCGTTCGTAAGTTCGCGGAAATTATGCATAAGACCAGGTGGATAAGGGCTTATGGGAAAGTCCAACAAATAAGTCAAGCTCTTATCTTTGGTAAGATTTCAATGCACAGTTTATTATCGGCCTCGCTGCTACATCCGGACCGGATGGTACATCCGGGATTTCTCCGGGGTACATGGGAAATTATCGGATTTGGTGACTTGACTGGGAGTGCCGACGCAGCGTCAGCGATGTCAAACGTAGCTTTATTGACCGTACCATTCGTGACCATAATAACAGTCGCTTAATTGCTCACGTGTGCTGGTGGTGGTCGGCCATCAGCTGTCTGCCTCTCGTTCCGAGCGGCGCCAAATTAGTTGCGGTGAACTAATTACAGAGCTGTAATTAGTATAGCTCAATATTGGTGGCGGCTCGAGCGTTACGCAGCGCCGAATAGCTCCACAGCGGCCTGACAGCCCCCTGGGGTTCGTCGTGTGCCGTCCACCGTCCGTGGGGGTGATCAGTAGTCTGGTAGGGGTAACTCATCTTGGGGCGTGCTGCCGTCCCATGTCTCCGCTCGCTCGCCGCCGGGCGATTGCGATTCGAGGCACACTTCCTGCCGAGTTTGGGATTTTCCTGCAACGATTGGCGTGACCGACTGCGGCGCGTGTAACGTCGGCTGTTGCAGACGTTTCAGGGTGGGTGAAGGGGTGCCGGTAGTGTAGTGGTTAACACGTCTGCGTTAACCAGTGCGCGTCTGGGAAACCGGAGGTACGGGGTTTGATTCCCCGCGGTGCTCGCCCTTCCCGCCAGGGTGAAAGGCAGGCGACGCCATATAGCCTCAGCAGCTCAGTGCGTCGTAAAGCCCCAATCACACACACATCAGGGTGGGTGAAAATAGCGTCGCAGTTTTGCGGAGCGTACATGGCTGAAAGCCAGACACCATCCGGCCCTTATCGAGGCTCAATAGCGCCCGACGCCGGTCGGGAAATGAACTGGCCGAAACGTTGTGTGCACAGTAATACGCTAGACGACGACGATTGTCCTGACAATTAGGTCGTCCGCGAAGATTTCAGCATTCTCCGTCGTAGGGCCCGGCTAGGTCGGCACGGGAGACAGGGCCTGGACACCACGTATGTCTTTCCGCGCCGTTCCGCCCCGACCTGTGTCGTACAGACTGGGTCATTGATCTCCAGGCGGACTCGACACCCCCGTCAGACTGGATCACTGATGCCCAGGCGAACTTGACACCCCCGTCAGACTGGATCACTGATGCCCGGGCGGACTTGACACCCCCGTCAGACTGGATCACTGATGCCCGGGCGGACTCGACACCCCCCGGAGATCCGAGCTAATCACATCACACAGCAACCCGAATGTCCTTGTGATCTGGACCCCACAGGCTACAGGGCGTAGCACGCCACTGACCCCGACTCGTCAGAAGGTGGTCAGGTTTTCACCATGGGGTGGACGGAAGTTAAAAATGATAATTGGCGAGGTTTCTCGCCTGCCGCAGAACAACGCATTTCCTTGACCTCTTGATTTTTATGCACGAAACGAAATTTTAACCGTCAACATTTAGTCACGTTCGTATGAATATGTCATAAAGCTGATGGGAGGGCGCACTTAGTGGCCCCGGGGGCCACTATGTGCGTGCGCCCCTTGACCCAAGCACGCCACTGATGAGGCGGGCACGGTGCGCGTTATCGGCGCCGCACCGCGCTGACCGCGGCTGGCTCTGTGTGCGCGCAGGGTGACGGGCGGCGAGCTGTTCGAGGACATCGTGGCTCGCGAGTTCTATAGCGAGGCGGACGCCTCCCACTGCATCCAGCAGATCCTCGAGTCGGTGAACCACTGCCACCTCAACAGCATCGTGCACAGGGATCTCAAGGTGAGCTGGCCACTGTGGCTGCGTTGAAACAGAGGGGCGTGTGGGAATCTCGCGGCGAACACGCTCGTCTGGCGAGCTGGAGTTTGGGACGCATGCCATTGATGTTGCGTGGAAAGAACGGGCCGTACAAACCCGCCTGCCGCGCTCCGGTCACGGCCAAGCGTCTCCCGTCTCCTGGAGCTCGGCTGCACCCCTGTGGTGACCTGAAAGGTTACAGTTACAGCTACGCTCACACGTGGCTCTCGGTGATGGGTCAGTGTCGACGCCTCGGCAGCGCCGCGCGCGGAGATCTGGGTGCGGGTATCGCAAGGGTGTGTTCTGTGCGCTGGAGTGTTGGACCTACTACCGGTGACGGACGCCCAACCGTGACCTACATACCGGTGACGGACGCCCGACTGTGGCCTACATACCGGTGACGGGCGCCCGACCATGGCCTACATGCTGGTGACGGACGCCCGACCGTGACCTACATACCGGTGACGGGCGCCCGACCATGACCTACATACCGGTGGCGGGCGCCCGGCCGTGACCTACATACCGGTGACGGACGCCCGACCGTGACCTACATACCGGTGACGGACGCCCGACCGTGAGCTGTCCGTCGGAAGAAGAAGGCGCCGGGTGTGGCTGCCCTGCGCAGAATCCGCGCGGGCAGCGGAGGCAGCATTTCAGAGGCACTTTTGTTGATTCGCGGAGACACGCGATTTTGAAAGCGTGGTGCTGGCTCCAGCCTTGAAGTTATGGACTGATTCCCAGTTTGATTCAGTGCAGTATTGCGTGGTAGAAATGCATCAAATCCCGTGTGTTCGTGTTAAGCAATATCAATAAAACGCATCGCAGTCGCATTCCTGCCAAAGACTACACTGATTTCCTGGGGGCATAGCCTTGCTCTGGCCGTGGATTTGGCAGCGCGGCATGGTGCACAGAACCACCGTGCCGCGCTGCCTGCGTGCACTGTGCACCGTTTGCAGCGCGGCGTTCGTGGCGCGGGCTGGGCTCAAAAGAAGCGAGGTGGAGTTCCCACTTCGTTTAATTATGGAGCTTCGCCCTGCTCTGTTGATGAGATTAGTAAATCCTTTCCGCCCCAGAGCGAAATTGTCCTGTATCAGCCCGATCAGGCTCGTAAAAAGAATTTTTGTCGTAACCATAAAGAACTGCGCAGCACATCAGCACATCTCCAGGAGGTGTGGCGGCCAGAAAGGCACGTTTCTCAGTTAGCACACATGGTTCATCCAGCCAAGAAATATACTGCATGAGATAAAAGCCAATCTCAGGTTTAGACACGAAGCTGCATTTGCATCCACACCAGAGATATGTTGCGTAAGATAAGCCCAGCACTTTTCTGGATTTTCCCAATTTCTTTCGAAGCATATCCATTTCAGTCAGAAATGTACCAGAGGTGTCACAGACGCTTCTACACTGAAATGACGACCACATCGGGACAAATTATTTCTTACATTTGTCATGGCGCAGCTCAACGCGATAGCGCCATATCAGCCGTCAACTGTGAGGCGTGCCCGGTCTTTGAAAATGGCTGCGAAACCGATGCTGATACACAAATATAACTGCCAGCAAGCGAGGAAATGCATTTGTTTGCGAAAAGGTACATATTTAAAAAAAAAAATAATGTGGTGCAAAGAAATCACCACGACTGACGTGCTGAGGGTTAGAAGTTAGGAGAAATTCCATGGTTGTGTGCAGGCATCAGTGGGAGGTTAGAATCCCCTTAAGCTATTCTATGAAAAATAAAAAATAGTTGGATCTTGATTCATTTCAGTGCATGGCCTGACCAGGCCTTAGAATATGAAGATGTGCTCAAGATGCTGTCGGCTGTTTTTATATTCCGATAAGCACGATTTAGACACTCAGCAGAGGGCGTGACCCGAGCCTGTCAGATAAGTATTTTGCATTTAGGTGCTTAAGGCCGTGCGTTTGTGGCTTCGTCTTCAGCTCAGTGTGTTTCAACAGACTGCATGTGTTAATGGTCATCATTGCCCGCTCAGACATGTTGAATTCATCACATGTTCCCATGGATTTTCTCCGCTGTTTTTGGTCATTCCGTGTCACTCACTTTGTCCTTCGTAATCCACTGGAAGACATCAGCGCTATTGAGCGTGCACCAGTTTAAGTAGTGATAGGCATGCTGATTATTACACGGCTGTTGCTGAATAATAGACAGTGCACAATGTTGTATGAGCCTGGACATGTATTTTTATGTTACTTTATCTCACTTTTTGTCGGTAAACTTAGCGCTGGTGGTGTCGAGCGTTGGCAAGAATTGTCTAGGGTCCCAAAAAGTAATCTTGTGATCCTATGCTCCGGAAGCCTACCAAAACTCAACATGTCCAAGTAATACCAACCACAAGCGCCACAAGCCTTTTACCGGGGCTGTGTTGGCCTGTGGGTTCAAAAGCGGCGTCTCTAATGCGTCTCTAATGCCGAGTAGAAGCTGTTGTACAGCAGTCGCCGTGTGCTGGTTACAGGCGTGGGCACGGTAGGATGGCAACGCGCTGGAGTCGTTACTCGACCGCATTAGTGTGGCTTGCTTCCAGCGACGTCGCACATGCAAACGTGACGTGACGTGACGTGTTGGGCGTGACGTGACTAACGTGACATGTTTGGGCCCTGCTCGTCCAGCACTGTGGGCGCCGTTGATCTGGCTGACTCTTCACTAAGCGCTGTGTGCGGTAATCTATAGCGTTTACATGCTTGTTAATGGTGGCGCTGTCGTCGTGCTCATTAATTTGCTTCAAGTTCGGTTCGTTTTTGTCCTTCACTTGAAACCGATGGCCCGCCCGGCGTGATCTTCGACGACCTCGGCTCTTGAAGCAGTCATCGCTGCCGAGGACACCATGGATGTGGCGCTGTGGCGCAAGAGCGCCGCGTCGCCTCCTGCCGGCTCACGCCACGGCTGTGTCGATGTCTTCTGCTGTTGGGCCTGTCTGTCTGTCTCGGCGCTCGAGCCGCTCACATACAGTCGGTCCCCCCCCCCCCCCTCCTCCCCCCCCCGCCCCGCCCCGGGAGTAATTTTGCTTTGGTGGAAACGCTGGCGCGGGTGGAATTTAGGCCTCGGGTGGTTGTGGTGAGCAAACTGCTATCCTCTCTGGGCGCACCGTCAGGGGCTAGCGCGTCCGTGTCGCCCTGTTACGTGCGTTGCCTCCGGCCTCTGGAGAGCCTGATCTTGAAACGGGCGGAGGGAGGGGGGAGGACGGTCGGCCGGCACGTACGTATGACGATGGACGCGAGATGCCTTGAACGTTTTGATGTCGAGACGTCTTGAGAGGTCTCAGCGTTGAAGAGCGCCAAAGTGATACAGACGCGTGCGAATAGTCAAGTAGTAGTTGCATTTGCTGACGCCGGCGCGGAAGAGACATAAAGAAGGCGGGCGAGGGGAGTTAGTTACTTTGAGTTGCTAGCCCGCGGCCAGCGCCGCCTTCCGATGCTTCTGTGCATCTGGGCGCGCCTCTGACTTCCAGAACGCTGCTGGCTTTCAATGATCAACCAATCAGCGGCGGCGGTCGCCACTGACGGCGCGTCTGATTGGCTGGTTATAGCCGCCGGCGGTTCTGTGCCGTGCAGCCGGTCGCTTCGATCTCGGCGTTCGCGGGCAATGGGAGTATGTGGAGCGGACGGTTTTGGCATGTGTAAAGGCTGGTGGCGACACCGGGGGAGAGAGAGAGGCTGGTGGCGACACCGGGAGAGAGAGAGAGAGAGAGAGAGAGAGAGAGAGAGAGAGAGAGAGAGAGAGAGAGAGAGAGAGAGAGAGAGAGAGAGAGAGAGAGAGACGAGAGACGGAGACGGAGACCGGAGACCGGAGACGCGGAGACGCGGAGACGCGGAGACGCGGAGACGCGGAGACGCGGAGACGCGAGACGGAGACGGAGACGGAGACGGAGACGGAGACGGAGACGGAGACGGAGACGGAGACGGAGACGGGAGACACGGAGAGACAGGGAGAGAGCGGCTGCGGTTGTCGGTTTCGAGAGCCGTTAAAAGAAGTTTGTGAGGAGGAGGGTAGGTGGTTGATATTTGTGAAAATGTTTCTTACGCCAGCCCAATAACCCATTCTTGCTGGTCGCCCATCTGTTGTTTTTGTTAAAATCAGCGACACTATGCAGTGTGTGCGTGTTGAAGCCTGAGACGAGCCGCAAAGCCGCCAAATGGGCCACTAGATCGCTAGACCATACCACCAGACCATGCCCACCAGACAGGACCGCCAGACTAGACCACCAAACCAGAGAATCAGACCAGACTAGATCACCAGACCGTACCACCAAACCGGACAACCAGACTAGACCGTCAGGCGAGACCACCAAACCAGAGCACCAGGCCAGGCCGCCAGACCACCGAACCAGAACACCAGACCATACCACCAGACCATAATACCAGACCAGATCATACCACCAGACCAAACCACCAGACCAGGCTACCAGACCAGACCACCGGACTAGGCCGTCAGAATAGACCACCAGACTAGACCATACCACCAGACCGGACCAGACCACCAAACCAGACCACCTCGTGAGCAGCCTGCCTGCCGTGAGGCCGCCAGACCCCGCTGACGTGTCGCCGTGTTTCAGCCAGAGAATCTGCTGCTGGCCAGCAAAGCCAAAGGGGCGGCGGTGAAGCTGGCCGACTTCGGGCTGGCCATCGAGGTGCAGGGCGAGCAGCAGGCGTGGTTCGGTGAGCTCGTGTTGACGCACTCGGCCTGGTCTGGGGACATGTCGGCGCACGAGGGGGCCGAGCCGTGTCTAGCTGGCGTGACAGCGCTCCCGCCACGCTCGGCGGCAGCGTTTTTGCTTGCCGTCTGCCGGGGGCCGTGTCTGTGGATTTGATTTTTCACATTTGCTCTGTCTGTGGATTTCGATTTTATCGCGATTGTCTCAAGTTCCTCCTTTTTAAGTTTTGTATGCGTTTATCTGTTTTCGTTGCTTTTGTCGTTGATTGATGTCGCTTTCACTGGATCTTTGCTTTTTTCTTCTTCAGTCGCTTTTTATGCGACCAGTGTCATCTGTCGCTTCTTTCGCCGTCCCTTTATCTTGTCCGGTTCCCGATGACACATTGGTCATCCGCCAGTCCCTTTGTGCTGTCCAATGTCGTCTTGGTCTCTTCTCTCAATGTCTCTCAATGATCTCTTCCTCGTGTCCTCGTGCTTGCGGCCGCTGAAGGACCGTTGCCGCGGCGTCCCGCTCCCGTCAGCTGTGTCCGGAGCCACAGTGTCCAGTCACGCACTCCCCTTCTGCTGCTGCGAGTTAGCGCATGCGCAGGCTTGCCCGGTCCCTTCGGATACTTGAAAGGAGTGATGCGAGAAGTCCGACGTGTGCGTGCCACCGTGTGTGAGAAGTTGAGAGGGTGAGGAGTGTGGCGTGTGGTGTCGCCAGGGCCTGTTTCCAACCCGCTTGGTGTCGCCAGGGCCTGTTTCCAACCCGCTTGGTGTCGCCAGGGCCTGTTTCCAACCCGCTTGGTGTCGCCAGGGCCTGTTTCCAACCCGCTTGGTGTCGCCAGGGCCTGTTTCCAGGGCGACTGACCGGTGTCGTTGTCAGCGACGTTACCAACGGTGGCGTGCGGAACGGATGTCCGCCTCCCGTTGTGTGGATACTCTCTGTGTCCTCGTCCTCTACTCACTCCCTCCTCCCCGCTAATCCTGTCATTGGTTCTCATTGCATGCGACAGGGCCTGCGGGCACCAATCATTGATACGCTGTCGGTACGTGCTGCCGGTGTCCCATATGGGCCCTTGACGATGACGTCGCTGACCGTTCAGACGGGTTGATGGGAGAAGGCGTCTGCCGGCGCTGTCCGCCGCTCGCGGGCGTGGGCCGGCACAGAACACACAATGGCCGACGGTGCTCGGAGTTGGAGGCAATCTGTTGCGAGTGGGCTGGGCGTGCGATGGGAGGAAGATCGGGTGATGGGAGTGTCGCAGTGCTGTGACGCGGCGCCTTGGCTGAATGAAGTCATTCTTACTGGGCGTGGCGGAAGCGTCCTCGGTGGACCCTTGCGCACACACTCCTATTGTGGCGCGTAGCGAATGCGAAAACCCCGGTGGATGGCGAGACGGTCGCGACGAGGTCGGCTCCTCTAATGAACGCGCCGCTTGGGGACTGGAGTCTTGGTAGGGCACGCCGCGTTTCACCCCGAGAACGGAGAGCATGTCTTTAGGCGCCGGTGCTGGCGGGGAGGAGGGTGATCTCCGATACGTCGTCCCACCCTTCACGAGGATAGCGCAGTGGGATCGTGTACTTCCGCGCCAGAGTCCTGCGGCAGACCACCAAGCCGGACAACCAGACTAGACCGTCAGACGAGACCACCAAACCAGAGCACCAGACCAGACCGCCAGACCACCGAACCAGAGCACCAGACCATACCACCAGGCCATAATACCAAACCAGATCATACCACCAGACCAAACCACCAGACCAGGTTGCCAGACCAGACTACCGGACTAGACCGTCAGAATAGACCACCAGACTAGACCGTGCCACCAGACCGGACCAGACCACCAAACCAGACCACCTCATGAGCAGCCGGCCTGCCGTGAGGCCGCCAGACCCCGCTGACCCCGCGCAGTGGGATCGTGTACCTCCGCGCCGGAGTCGTGCGCCAGTACCGGGCGATATGGCACGCGCGGTACCCTCGTCGAAACGGGTTCATCTCATCCCATGGCCGCCGAACGCGCTCGTCCCTCGGCTTACGGCACTCGCGCAATGCATTGTTTGTCGCAACACGCTCGGTTCGAATGATCTCACCGATCCAGTTCGCCGCGAGTGGCGCTCAGCGCGCCAGGTAAACCCTGCGGAGGGGGGGGGGGGGGGGAGGCTTACACCAGGGGCGATGGCGGTCCTTTGCGTGGAGCTGCGTCGCCGGCGGGGTCACGCCGCTGACCTTTGGAGACACCCGCGGCGCCGGCAGGCGGGCTAAGCACGTCTGCAGAACGCGGAAGTGAGCTTTGAGAGTCGCGTCTGAGTCCGCCCGCAGCGACAGACAGACAGACAGTATGAATTGTGTCAAGGCCGCGGTCCTCGTGTTGGGCGGTTCGATCGAGGGTACGCGGTTATATTGGCTGTGGTGCGCCGATGCCGCCCGTTCGTTGGAAGCTGTCTGTTTATAGCGGCTGGTGAGAGGTCTGGCGTGGGGTAGGGGCATCGAACCGTGCTTTGGCGCTTTAGCGTGGACGTTGTTTTGGCGGACCTTGGACCTTTTGGACGTGGACCTTGCTTTGGCAGGTTCTCGTTGCGTTGTCTGTGGTGCAATTGAGGGAGGTCACGCCGGGTGGCCGAGAAAAGAAGTAGGAAATATCTTTTGAGGAATGTCTTATTCCCTGCATTTACGTACCATCATGCCGGACTTATTGAAAATGTGCGGGGTCATGGCTCCCTAGTGTCGTTTGTCTGTTTGTAAGTTGTTTGAACGTTTGTGTGGTCATCGTTTGGGGGCTTGTCTGCTTGTCTGTACGTCCGCCTATGTATGTTGATCACGTGAGTGCTCAAATGATTTATTCCGCCGCGTTGTTTTTGTGGCAAAACTTTATCTCACTGTGGCTGCAACCCGTCTAGTTGTTCTTCTAGTTCATAGGCACATGTGCAGATTATTGGCTACTCATATCTACTGACTACTGACTTCATTTGGCATTTCTTTCACACAGCCGTCTCCACATAGCGCAGCCTTGTTCGTCGTAGACGGCGTCCGTGTCTTTATGAGGTATCCTCGGCGTCACTTTTCGAGACACCTCATCCGAGTTCGTCCTCTTCCACATGTGAACCAAAAACCCGTCTGCCTGCTGTTCTCTAAGCTCAACGATCCCTCATCTTAAAGCTCTCTCGAGTCCCTAAGACATCTAAGTCTTTAGGGTCTCCGAGATGGAATCCTGGACACACGCACGCACGCACGCACGCAACGCACGACGCACGCACGCACGGCACCGCACGCACGCACGCACGCAGCCCACGCACGCACGCACGCACGCACGCACGCAACGCACGCACGCACGCACGCACGCACGCACGCACGCACGCACGCACGCACGCACTCTCTCTCTCTCTCTCCTCTCTCTCTCTCTCCTCTCTCTCTCTCTCTCTATCTCTCTCTCTCTCTCTCTCTCTCTCTCTCTCTCTTCTCTCTTCTCTCTCTCTCTCTCTCTCTCTCTCTCTCTCCTCTCTCTCTCTCTCTCTCTCTCTCCTCTCTCTCTCTCTCTCTCTCTCTCTCTCTCTCTCTCTCTCTCTCTTTCTGGTCTCTAAGATCTCTAAGATCTCTAAGTTTGAGGGAGATTTGTGATATATCCGCATTCCGTCTGTCTCCGAAGCCGCTAAGAACGCCCGCGCCGGACGCTGGGTGGACACACCGCGTGCCATGTATTCATTCAGTGACCTCCGCCGCCAGGATTCGCCGGCACTCCCGGCTACCTATCGCCAGAGGTGCTGAAGAAGGAGCCGTACGGCAAGCCGGTCGACATCTGGGCATGCGGTAAGTCCAGCTGGCCTCGTTCCCTGTTAGGCCTTTATCGCTGGTGATAACCGACGCCGCCAACAACAAGGTTTAGGTACATGACAACCAGCCCATAGCTGACGTTGAACATCTGGGTTAGGACTGTGTGCGGCTGAGTGAGTAGCTCCCCTCTGCGCACAAATCGAGCCCGGATGTCTCGGCCCCAACAGTGTCACTCACCAACCCCTCGGCCACTGACTCCCCCCCTCCTTTCCGGTCCGCCCCGCACAGCTGTTTCGGATTGTACAGTTCGTGCGATCGCTCGCCCTGAGGGGGTGGCGATGAGCGACACGACCAATGGGACGCGAGCTTTCGTGTGCTGTTGGCGCACTCGGGACTCGACTCCCGGCCGTGGCGTGGCCGGCCGTGGCGGGAAGCTCGGGTCCGAATCTCACTTGCGCCGTGTTTCCCAGACGCGAATATGGTCGTTACGGTCGCTGATGCTCCGTAGAGGTGCGTTGCCCAGTGCGTCGTGTTTTCTTGAAGAAAACAAAACAATGATGCGCCAGTCTTCCGCTGAATCGCTCGTCCGCGGCGCACCGAGACAAACCCGGCCCACAAAGCCTGCGCACTGTCGACGGCGGCACGCCGCCCACGTACGTGCGGGCTGCTTGGGCCCGAACATGTCCGCGTTAGCGTCGTGGCCGCTTTGCGGGCGCGGCGGCGGCCTAGAGTGGGCCTGGTAATGACCGGAATCACGATCACTCGACCGACATCGCAAGCCCGGTGCTTGTAGACCACTCTACCTTCACCCCCTCCTCCCTCGTCCCCCCCTCCCCCCTCCCCCCCCGCTTCCGATCTGGCTGTTGTGACCTAGCTATGGCCAGGTAGAAGCGATGCCAACGAGAGGGGGGAGGAGGGGGCGTGTTTTGGATGATTTTGAGACAACGCATGTTCATGGACGCAACGCCCATGAAAATTCGACGTCATAAAATCGTGGCACAGAAAAGAAATCCTACGAAGCCGCCATCACCTTGAGACGGAAAACATGGAAACACCGTGGAAAACGCAACGGCCGTGAAGCCTCGACCTCGCTTTTGGCGTAGCGCAGGCGCGACGGATCTGAGCCACGCTCGCCGAGCCATCATTCGGTGGTTACCGCCCCGGCGAGGACGCCGACGGCTGCTGTGTCGGTCGGGAATGGGGCTGACACGGCAGCTGTGGGCCGAGCGCCTCTGAATGGCGCGGCCTGGCACCGGCGCCGGCGCCGGCGCCGCGCCCTTCCATGGTTGGTGTTCCCTGGTTTCCCCTGACATGCCGTTGGTACACGATGCTCATTGCTTTTTATTTTTTCCCGGACATTAGTTTGTTCTAACCTTTGCCACCCGCCACTGCGTCGTATACTGCTAGCATTATAAATCTAACACGCAACAAAACGGCACAAAACTTCGAAATCCTGATAATTTCTGAAGCGCAATGATCATTTCACCTCGCTGGATCGGCCGGCGCCTCGCACCAGCGGCCGGCGCTTACTGAATCAGCCAGCGCTCCGCTTTCTCGCCCGTGACCACTGGCGGTAACCTATCAGCGGCAGGCGCGCAGTGGCGACAGCCGGGAGCGCTTTCTTGGCCGGCTAGCCTTCTATTGGCGGGCTATACTGGCCCTGGTCGGCCGCCCGGCGCCCTGGGACGACCCGTCACGTCCGGTGGGGACAGGAGGAGGGGGGGGGGGGGAGAAAGAGCTGTGCGATGCGGGAACATCGGGACGGTGTCGATGCGTGGTTTGTGAGGCGAAGGCCACCCGCCTTGGAGTTATTCATTTGTTGGCTGCAATTCGGGTGCGTGACGATTGCTGGTTTTGGGGATCATCTCTTCTTTCGATTAATTTTGAGGCAGAATAATAAATTATGCTACATGCACAGTGCCTGTGTCGGGTCAGCAGGCACTCTGCATCCATCGCAGACCCCTTAGCCTGCGCAGTCTTCCTATGACAATTCTGTGCCTCCCTCGCACTGAGCTTTTCGTGGGTATCGCGAACGATTCCGCTGTGCTTCTGGTCTTCAGACTGCTTCGGGTCTTTGGAAACATTTCTGTTACATTGCAACGTTACGTTGTGGCCACGATCCGGCCCGGTGGGCCAAAATGTTAGTTCGCCAACATGAAATGGACGAAAAACGTATGTATTGCAACTAAAGTAACATTGCATTGCCCTTTTCTTCTGGCTGAACGACCGCGATCGACAAGCAGCAATTTCGTAGAGAAAAACACTTGCACGAGACATAAAATTCGCGCGCAAGCAAGAGCACAGGCCTGTCTCTTGCGAAACGACACCATCCTAACGTTACCGCACGCTAACTTTCACATAAAACCAAAAAGGATTTTAGCGATGAGTGCATTTAGACATGGCAGACGACAGACATTCTATAGGTTCTAATAATGAAAGCGCTCCTCTGATGTCACGTTCCCGGACTACATTTTTGTCTACGGGTTCGCTTCCTTCGCCCGGGATGCGGTAAAGTTTTTGGCAAATTTTTATCCTTTGGGCGTTTTGTGCTTGGTTTCGTTCAACTTTATACTTGTCTTCACTTTTTGTTTTAATGATTTATCGTGTCCTGTCTTCTTCATCATTGATAAATTCCCTACTGCCTTGCTGCAACCAAATGTAGGATAAAGCCGTTCTGTAAGACACATCGCACCAAGTGAAATAGTGCCTTGAACCCTGGAACAATCATCGTGCAGCGTCATTTGCACTCCAGTCTGCCGGCAGGAGAGGTAGCTCTACACCCACGACATGTTTCTGCTCCGGAGTGGTGCGGCAATATTCCTTCTGGTAGTGCTCGGGGTTCCAGCTCCGTGCGACGGACTGTGCTGTCATTCGTTGGCAGGACAGGTCGCCGACCTGAACCGGATGGTCAGTGAACTCTCTGCGGCCGTGAACTCGGCAGTGCTGCCGCGGTTAACCGACATGCACGCCCAGATGCGAAACCTTACGTTGCAGCGGCAGACGTGCGCGCCGCTGGTCCACAGCGAGCCACTGGCCCGCGACTGCAGCGACCTGCCGACTGGCTCCCCCAGCGGAGTGTACCGGGCGTGGTTGAGTGGGCTGCCTAGACCGGTGCCGGTGTACTGTGACATGTCCAAAGACGGCGGCAGGTGGACCGTCTTCCAGCGGCGCGCCGATATTACACCCAGGCAGAACTTTTATCTCAACTGGCAGTCCTACAGGACTGGATTTGGAAAGCTCGATGGCGAATTCTGGTGGGGCAATGAACACCTGTTCCGGCTAACCTCGCAAGGTGGCCGACGGTACCAACTGCGCATTAACCTGGAGGACTTTAAGGGTGGAAAAAGGTACGCCTTATACTGGACCTTCAAGATCGGGCCAGAGAGTGATGGTTACCGCCTACACGTGAGCGGCTACGAGGGAAACGCCGGCGATAGTTTCAGGTTTCACAACAATCAGCGTTTCTCTACATACGATAGAAACAACCAACGGCGGCAGAGACGAAATTGTGCTCAGAGTTTTAAGGGTGCCTGGTGGTACAGGGACTGCCACCATTCCAACCTGAACGGACGATACCTTTCCGGACCGCATAAATCGTTCGCCGATGGCATCGAGTGGCTGCATTGGACAGGACACCATTATTCCCTGAAAGCAGTGGAAATGAAGATCAGGCCAGTAAAGAAGTAAGGGTTTCAAGCCAAAAACTTGCTTGAGTGATATGTACTCACCCCGACGGCATTTGTGATGGAAAGCAAAGAGGTCTGTGCTTGAAATGCTTGCATGGGGCTTGTAGAAACTAGAATAATCAAATTGTCTGTGCTTCTGGAACCCAACGCAAACAAGCAAACATATGTATCACGTTTCGCAGATCTGTAAGCCTCTGCCGAATCTTCCACATAGTGTTGTGTTTGCATGGTTACATGGACGATCAGAAACAAGTGTATCCATCCAATACTCGACTTATACACCTTGCAGCTTCACACCTGTTTGACTCCGCAAGTAACAGTCGTATCAAACGTGAAAGGCTTTTCCTAGCGCGAGAACATAGCAGTATCGTAGGTGTCAGGGCACGTGGCTCCTCGTTTAGGTCCTGAGGGGCGGCAGGAGCCCGAAGGGCTCTGAAACCGACAAGGAAGTACCCGATTTGCTCTCCAGAAGAGTCTCCGAATGACTGCCCATATGTCGCATGTAGAATCCCCGCCCGAAGGGACGTGACCCCAGGTTTTGGTAAGAGGGTTTCTTGACTGATTAGCGCAACATTCGGCTGACGATAAGGACACGCTCTGGTACTCGTTGGCATTTCGGGTCTCCTATTGGTACCAGAGATCACTGACACCGACCGACCGGTGAATGACTCCCTGTCGGTCTGAGCCCTGTGGGCCTGTTTCCGAAGTAGTGGCAATGCCGGGGCGATTTGCATTGGTCGGGCCCCTGAAACAGGGAGGGGCGTGTTGGTTATTGGTCTACAGTGCCTGGCAGGTTAGTTCAGGTCAGCTAGTTGTATTCATGAATCATTTCAACAAGTGGCTTTTGTTTGATTCGGTATCATTTAAATAGTAATTTAAACGCGGCAGTAGAACATGAGAACAACGTGACCACATTCGCACGTTGTCAGTCTTCCAGTCGTTTACGCATGATGGTCAAAAGCCAAATGATTAATATGAATCTAAATCCTCAACGCGTGTTACACAACGGCAAGCGAGCAATGGTTAAACTAGGAGACCATCTAAACTATCTAGCCTGGTACGAAACTCGTTGCGGGTGCTAGAGGCTGTGATGACCAGCGACAGGCGGCTCCAAAATGGAACTGTGCAATACGAAAAAGTCCTGCGTGCCCCCGATGGAGCCCATGAGACATGAAGGGCTCTGAATACAGCGAGGCCGGCGCGGCGGATGGCCAGATCGGTAATACCGCATCAACCTAGCGCTTGAACAGCCGCTGCCATTTAATCACTTGAAGAGCATCGGTGATGATTCTGACCACAAAGTTCATCACCCCTTGTGCTTGCTTTAGGTTACACGCTTCAGCCCCACCCTAGACCGACAGGCAGTGCATAAGATGAGGAAAAACATGGGAATGGATGAGGAGCTTACAAATCTTGGGCGAACGGAGGTGACGAATTTTGTCCAAGTAGCAAAGGACGGAGCTGCACTTTTTGACATCATGACATATATGCATCTGCTAGGAAAAATTGTAACCACCAGTGTCTTTACCAACGGCGAAGGTCTTCATTTGTATCCCACAATGTCAAGGTGAAAAGATGAGGGTTTTGTCAAGGATTGTAGAGTGCGAAAAAGGAGAAGAATTGTTTTAGCGGGGTTCGTTTGAAGGGAGTTAGACGTCAAGCAGGCTTGAATCATTTGGATGTTTTTTTCTGCCCAAATTTCAAAACGTATAGTTGGCCTGGATAAACGGAGTCTGGCACCAGAATGTCGTCGGCTTGGGACCCTGGACGTCTGTGAGGGAGGTAGAGAGGTAAGATGAGAGGTAGAGAGGTAGAGAGGTAAGATGCAAGGTCGCTCGGGAAGACGCTGAAGAGGAAAGGGCCGATGGGCATGGGCATAGAGGGCATATGCCACACCCTCCAAGGCTTTTGATTTCGCCCAGGGTAGACACTTCGCCGGCTGAAACAAGGAAACATGCCCTGACACCTGACTTGTTCCGTTCCATGGGGCTAAAGCACGTGGCGTCGTACGAGGGGCGCACAATAACTTATACGGACGGATCCAAAACTTCAGGCGGTGTCGGCTGTGCGTTTGCAAGAGGTACTGCCACTCGATCATTCACACTGTCCAAACACGCGCCGGTATTCACGTCCGAACTCGTGGCTATAATCAAGGCGCTCTGTTTTATTGAAGTTGGGAATGAGTCCTCGCACCTCGTTTTAACAGTTTCTTTGAGCCTTTGAGCCTTTGAGCCTTCTCTTGGTCTTGAGAACTTTGAACCCATCGAGTCCCCTTTTACAGGACATTTTGATGCGTCTCGCTGCATTGGACCAAGTTGGAAAGAAGGTGATACTGTGTTGGATTCCTAGTCATGTCGGTATCGTTGGAAATGAGCTCGCTGACGCGGCTGCAAAACGCGCATCACATGTACCATGTACGCGCAGATTGCCTCTTATAGGCCAAAATTTTATCCAGCCATTTGGCCTTTCTTGCAACACAAGTGGTATCTCTGTTGGATTGATGACACAAATAGCAAATTGAAACAATAAAATCCGAATTGGGACCGTGGTCTTCCAGCTTCCGTGACTGGAGGCAGGAAGAAGTTGTGCTTTGCAGGCTGCGTATTGGCCACACGTACGAAAGCCACCGGTATTTGTTGTGTGGTGTTGAGAGACCCCGATGCCCTCGTTGGCCTGCTTTTCTGGCGGTGCACCACGTAGTTGAGCTATGTCCTTATTTCGCCCGGAAGCGTTTGGTTTACTTTGGGCAAAGTGCTACCTCCCTTACGCTAAGTGACATTCTTGGAAATCATTCGCGACTTTTTGAACATGGCCGACTGCTTTCATTCCTTGCAAAAATCGGATTTTGCTTCATATATTCACCTCGTAGCTGAATGACAACGTTATGGGCGCAAAATGACCTATGCAGTCGGCGCGCCCAAAACCCCTAATAACCAACAAAAACAAATGTCTCGTATGCCAAGCTATACTTATCGGCAGCTTGGTCACGACGTGACGCACACTGGTAGTGGCGGTGAGATCGACGTTGAAGTTGTTGAAAGTCAGGGTGCAAACGGCGGCGTGAGGCGTGGGTGAGACCTGCTAGGGTCCTGCCAGGTCGATCTGTGTGACGAGGGGAAGCTGTAGGACACTGGCCAGCGTATGTTCTACCACAGCCGCTGAATCACCAAACTGTGTTTTTGGCTCACGCAGCGCTGCCTCATACACATCACAGAGGAGTGCACGGACAGCCTCTTGGGCTTGCCCGGTGAGACAATATGACAGGTGTGTCAGGCGCTCCGTGCCCGTCAGCACACAGGTACCGTGTTCGAGGGCCTTACGCAGCCTACTTCAAGTGGGCCCCTCCATGGAAGAGCCGTCGTACTTGTCTAGCGTTATCGTGAGGAGTGCTGAAGGTCTTCGGAAGTCTGCGCGTCCACTGGAAGTGTCGATATCCAACTCCAGGGCCGCTCATAGGGTTCAGCTTTCTCTTAGGCTCTTCGGAGTCTCGCAGCGGGCTCGTGATTCATCGTATCATCGCTGTCAGTCTTCCGCTAACCTCGGTCGCCATCCTCCCCAACCAGCTCCTGTGACCACAGCTCTTCCTCTTCCATAAACTACAGCTCAAGGTCATCTACCGCTACCGCGTCGGCAGCTTTACGTACCGCTGCACAAGCCTTACCCACCTAGCCTGACCTACCAGCTGTTCCTCCGCTTCGGTTGCTGCCATCGCTGCCCTCGTCTGAGCCTCAAATGCGCGCTTTGCATCGTTCGCAGGCTCCTTAGTCTGTGCATCTTTCCCTGGAGACATTTGTGCCTAGCTTTTCGCGGATATCGCGAACGATTCCGCTGTACTTCCGGTCTTCAGACTGCTTCGGGCCTTCGGAGACATTTTTGTTACCTTGCAACGTTACGCTCTGGCCACGATCCGGCCCGGTGGGCCAAAATGTTAGTTCGCCAACATAAAATGGACGAAAAACTTGTGTATTGCAACGAAATGAAGTACCTTGCCGCTCACTTCTCGCTGAAGGACCGCGATCGACATGCAGCAATTTCGTGGAGGAAATCACTTGCACGAGGCCCAAAATTCACGCGCAAGTCAGGGCACAGGTCTGTCTCTTGCGAAGCGGCGAATTCCTCGCCTTCCTCTACGCTAATTTTCACGTAAAACCAACGAGGGTTTTTGTGATGAGTGAATTTAGATATGACAGATGACAGACATTCCAAAGGTCATAATATTGAAAGCACTCCCTCGATGTCACGTTCCCAGACTACATTTTTTTAAACGATTTTGCTTGTGTCGCCCAGGATGCGGTGACGTTTTTGGTAAAGTTGCATCCTTTGGACGTTTTGTGCTTGGTTTAGTCCAACTTTATGCTTGACTTCATTTTTGTTTTCAATATTTATCGTGGCTTTTCTTCTTCACGCATAAATTCCATACTGCCTGCCGCAACCAAATGTAGTATAACACCGTTTTGTAAGACACATCGCACCAAGTGAAATAGTGCCTTGAACTCTGGAACAATCATCGTGCAGCATCATTTACGCTCCAGTCTGCCGGCAGCAGAGGTAAGTGTACACCCACGACATGCCTCTGCTCCGGATTGGTACGGCACTGTGCCCTCTGGTAGTGCTCATGGTTCCATCCCCGTGCGACGGATTTTTCTTTAAGCACTCTGGCGGAATGCGGTGTGGCGGCTTGCACCGAAAGATCAGTGAAGTCTCTGCGGCCGTGAAGTCGGCAGTGCTGCCGCGGTTAAACAGCGTGCAGGCCCAGTTGCGACACCTTAAGTTGCAGCGGCCGGTCTGCCCGCCACCGGTCTGTCCGAAGCCGGTTTGCCCGAAGCCAGTCTGCACGCCACCGGTCCACTGCCAGCCGCCGGTCCACGGCGAGCCGCCGGTCTACGGCAAGCCGCCGGCCTACGGCAAGCCGCCGGTCCGCGACTGCAGCGACCTGCCATTTGGCTCGACCAGCGGGGTATACCGGGTGTGGGTGAGTGGTCTGCCTAAACCGGTGCCGGTGTACTGTGACACGTCCAAGGGCGGCGGCAGGTGGACCGTCATCCAGCGGCGCGCCGATATCACACCCAGGCAGAACTTTTATCTCAACTGGCAGTCCTACAAGATTGGATTTGGAAAGCTCGATGGCGAATTCTGGTGGGGCAATGAACACCTGTTTCGGCTAACCTCGCAGGGTGGCCGACCGCACAAGCTGCTCATTATCCTGAAAGACTTTGATGGCGGAAAAAGGTACGCATTAAACCGGAACTTCAAAGTCGGGCCAGAGTGGGATGGTTATCGCCTTCACGTGAGCGGCTACACGGGAAATGCCGGCGATAGTTTTAGTTTTCACAACGGTGCTCGTTTCTCTACACACGATAGAAATAGCCAACACTCGCGAAGAGCGGGAATTTGTGCACAGAGATTTAAGGGTGCCTGGTGGTACAAGTGCTGCCACGAATCCAACCTGAACGGACGATACCTTTCCGGACCGCATCGATCGTTCGCCGATGGCATCGAGTGGAAACGTTGGAAAGGATTTTATTATTCCCTGAAAGCAGTGGAAATGAATATCAGGCCAGTATAGAAGTAGGGGTTTCAAGTCAACTCGCTTGAATGGTGTTACTTAGCCCGACGGCAAAGGCATAGGTGAAGGAAAGCAAGGAGGTCCGTGCTTGAAATGCTTGCACGAAGCTTATAGAAACTAGTATAATCAAATTGTCTGTGCTTCTGGAACCCAGCGGAAACAAGCAAACATGTGCATCACCTCCTGCGGAAGATTTGTAAACTTGTGCCGAATCTTCCACATAGTGTTGTATTTGCATGGTTATATGGGCGATCAAAAACAAGCATATCCATCCAATACTGGACTGATACACCAAGCAGTGTGACTCCTGTTTGACTCTCCAACCAACACTCGACTCAAACGTGAAAGGTCTTTCCTACCGCGAGGGTAAAGCAGTAGGGTAGGCAGCGGGGCGCGTGGCCCCTCCCTTAAATCCTGAGATCCTGCTGGCCAGAAGAGTCCGAATGGCTGGCTTTATGTCGCATTTGGAATCCCTGCCCGTAGGGACGCGACCCCAGATATTGGTAAGAGGGCTTCTTGGCTGATTAACGTACCTTTGACTGACGATAAGGACACGGTTTGGTACTCGTTGACATGTTGGGTCCCCTATTGCTCCCAGAGATCACCGACACCGAGTGGCCGGTGGACAACTCCCTGCCGGTCTGAGCCCTGTGGGCCTGTTTTCGAAGTAGTGGCAATGCTGGGGCGGTATACATTGGTCGGGGCCCCTGAAACAGGAAGTGGCGTGTTGGTTAGTGGTCTCAGTGCCTGGCAGTTTAGTTCAGGTCAGCTCGTTGTATTCATTAATCATTTCAACAAGTGGCTTTTGTTTGATTCGGTATCATTGCGATAATAATACAAATGCAGCAGTGCAACATGACAACAACGTGGCCACATTCGCACGTTGTCAGTCTCCCAGTCGTTTACACATGATGGTCAAAAACCAAATAATGAGTCAGAATCTAAATCGACAACGCATGTTACACAACGGCAGGCGAGCAGTGATTACACTAGGGGACCATCTAAATCATCTAGCCTGGTACGAACCTCGTTGCGGATGCTGGAGGATGTGATGACCAGCGACAGGCGGCTCCAGAATGGAACTGTGCAATACGAAAAAGTTGTGTGCCACCGACGGAGCCCGCGAGTCATTAAGGGCCCCGAATACAGCGAGGCCGTCACGGCGGGCGGCCAGGTCAGTAGTACCTCATTAACCTAGCGCTTGAACAGCCGCCGCCATTTAATCACCGGACGAGCATCGGTGACGATTCTGACCACAAAGTTCATCACCCCTTGAGCTTGCTTTAGCTTAGAAGCTTCAGCCCCACCCAAAACCGAGAGGCAGTGCATAAGATGGGGAGAACATGGGAATGGGTGAGAAGCTTGCGAATCTTGGGCGTAAGGAGGTGACTAATGTTATCCAAGCAGAAAAGGACGGAGCTGCACTTTTTGACAGCATGACATATGTGCATTTGCAAGGAAAAATTACTTTCCTTAGTGACCACCACTATCTTTACCAACGACGAAGGACTTAATTTGTGTTCCGCAGCGCCAGGGTGAAAAGATGAGGTTTGTTAAGGATTGTGGAGTGCGAAAAGGATGATAATTGTTTTAGCGGGGCTCGTTTGAAGGGAGTTAGATGTGAAGCAGGATTGAATAACTTGGACGGTTTCTGTCTGTGAAGATCTCAAAACGTGTAGTTGACGTGGATGAGCGGAGTCTGGCACCAGGGTGTCGTCGGGCTGGGACCCTGGACGTCCGTGAGGGAGGTAAGATGTAAGGTCGTTCGGGAAGACGCTAAAGAGGATAGGGCCGACCAAAGATCCCTGAGGGACACCGTGAGCCATCGGAAAAGCGAGAGAGAGAGAGAGAGAGAGAAGAGAGAGAGAGAGAGAGAGAGAGAGGAGAGAGAGAGAGAGATAGAGAGAGAGAGTGGAGAGAGGGTGGAGAGAGGTGAGAGAGGATGATAGGGAGAGAGCGAAGAGAGAAGAGAGGAGAGAGAGAAGAGAGAGCAGCGAGGAGAGAGAGAGAGAGAGGAAGAGAGAGAGAGAGAGAGAGAGAGAGAGAGAGAGAGAGAGAGAGAGAGAGATCACATCAAATTACATCACAAAACTTGTATTACTAAACGATTACAGCTGTTAAAAAGTAATCGTTTCAGAAGCGTCATCATTTTTGTCCAGCGGTGGGCCACGGCTAAATATTAGCTACTAGGCTAACGCTCCGCGACCTATGAAGACTGCAACGCCCGGTCGAGGTTTTTGTTGGTAAGATTTGCGAGCGCGCATGTTAAAAATTGCGTTACATAAATTGTATCATTAGTCCATTCCGGCTGAGTGGTGAAAATTTTTCAGGCAAACATGGCTTGGCCATGTTAATACACATTGCTGATTACCCGGTCTGCAATAAAAAATTTATATTCAAATTGGAACGAAGCATATCGATCTACAATCTACCTTCACAATATCCTCAATGACTATAGAACCCAGATAAAAAAATGTTGACAGGGCTTCTGAATTCTATCGGTTTAGAAAGAGTCAGCTAACTGTTGTAAATTAAGAGCGCCGGTGATTTATTCCATTCAGTCGTTGAACGTCGGATTTATGCAGTTTATTGACCCCAAAATGCAAACAGAATTGAGCTCACGGTAGCTCTTGATTTCTGTTTAGGTGAGAAGGTAAAAATAACAATGAAACGAAGAAAACCGTGTCACTTGTTAACAAGTAAGCCATATCCGAGGAGTTTGGGGGTGATCACCATAAGATGGGCTTTTGTCAACATTGTGTTCCCCTTCTGGCTACGCCCCTGCCTGCACACAAAAGCAGATCAAGTCGTATACGTTGCATGATGGGCAGTGAAGTGTCCGTTGGACCAATTCATTCCTAAGGCAGACAGCTTCCCGGAGGTTATTTGTCTGCGATGGTGTGGTGTGAGGGAAGATATTCGGAAAAAAGGTACTGTTGCAGGTGTCCAACACATGTTTCATGCACCATGCAGTAGTAACGCTGATCCAAAAGTATGCAACAAAGGCAGCCATATGATCAGTTCGCAGTCAGTCATGCGGGAGACATGGACCAGGGCAGTAGCCACCGACGGCGGACAGGAGCAGGGCCGAGATAAGGAACATATGACAGATTGGTCTTATTATGTGGCTTGATTCTTAAAAGAGAACCTCCAGTGTTATGGCTTTTGTCATTGTTTCTGTCAGTTTCAAGCTCCAGAATTTGTTTCCGACTAAAATGTTGCGACAAGTCTTGTCTCTTGAAAAGCAGCCAGCGAAATGAAGGCGTATGAAAAATCCGTCGCACATGTGAGCTGAGCAAATCTGTGAGCCATCGATCCACTTTCAAAATTCTCGTCAGGCTATATCCAGGCCGTATTTTGGCGTCTGCCCTGTGGGGCAGATGCTTCCGCAATGACTCAAAATGCCTACCTGCTCGTGGAAGTTGGTCTCCCCAGGAAAGACAATGTTACAATGGATGAATAATCTAGGGAAGCTGAATAGCCTTAGTTGCCAAATGATAGATGAGTCGAATAGGCAAGACGCACCAGTGAGAAACAGCTCTAGATGTATATTTAGCATAGCAGCCATGACATTTGAATGAAGAGCGATAGCAACCTCTATATCTGTCCCCCCCCCCCCCCCGGTCATCGGGTTCGCTTTCTAGAAAAAGTTCCCGAAGCACACCCTGAGCTTGCCCCCCTCCCCACACTTTTGAAGCGTTCCTACGCCTATGGTATCAGCCGAAAAAGTTTACGTAACCTGCCCTCCCCCGAAACCTTTTCTCATCGGATTTCGGTCTTTTGAAGTTGCGTGCTCGATATTAAAATGAGAAAACGTGTTATAACTTCCTAGATTCAAAATTGTCTTCTTCGCAGGAATGACTTCTCATTTCAAGGTAAGGTGATCTGTGTACTCGTGAAAAGCTCAGAACGGGGTGTGATTCACAGAAAAACATCTCGGTAAATCTTAGTTATGACATTCAAAATAATGATTCATTTCACAAAACTTCGAAACTATGATTCATTTCCAAAGCGCAATGATCATTTCGCTTTATTTGTTTCCAATCAGAAGTTTAAGCACACATCTAGCAGCATGTCCAAAGACCTGTGCGGCCAACAGCATGTCCACGGAAACTGGCCAGTCTTGCCCTGTCTGAGGCAAACGTCGTCTGAGAGAATCGACTGCGTTCGACTTAAGCAATAATGATTGCAAAACCACGTATAATATGTCACAGCTGTGTCTGCCCGCACTCATCCCTGTTAAGATTTACAGCGCTAAGAAGCGACGAGCTCAGTCCGCTCAAGTGACTTTGTAGGATCACAGGTAGAGCTCCGCTAGCCTGAAGTGGCGTAAAGCAAAGCTCTGGCCCTATGTTGACGACTATATTGCGCCTTCCTGCGTGTACTCTGCGGCCGGGACGGGTCTCAGCGCTGGAGTTCTGCGTCTCCGATCAACGAGCCCAGGTGTGTAGACGGCGAGCCCCGGGCCTCCAGCCGGCGAGCCCCGAACCGCCAACCTCCAACCTCCAGCCAGTGAGCCCCGGACATTCAGCCGGTGACCTCCGGAGCCTCCAGCCGGTGAGCCCCGGGACCTCCAGCCGGTGACCTCCGGAGCCTCCAGCTGGTGAGCCCCGGGCTTCACGCCGGTGAGTGCCGGGAGTTAAGCGGCGAGACCCGCGCCTCCAACCGGGAGTCCCCGATTAATAGCTGAGGAGCCCTGGGTGTGTAGCTGGCGAGATCCGGATCTTGAGTCGGCGAGCCAGCCCCAGACCTCCACTCGATGAGTTCCAGGCGTACAATCGGCGTTTCTGAGGACCGATATTGGCCATCACTTTGATGTCCATATCAGGCCATTTGCCATGGAGAATACTTTGTCAGGCAAGCGACAGGTTCTGCTTCCCTGGATAAGCTATATTGTTCTCCTGTCCTTCTTTGCATTGTCTTGTCCTCATGGTCGATGGCAAAGACGTCCTGAAATGGCCGAAACAGGCCTTTCCGTGGCCCAGAACCTTGGCCCAGTACGCATCATGGGAGCATCGGTAGCAAAGCGGGAGCTTCGACAACAGTCGCTGTTAGCCGTATGGAGTGTTGCGTCCGCTAAATGCTGTCTACCCAAGCGCGATCGGTGCTGATAAGCCCGGCGGCGCACCCCGTGGTATCGGGCCGTGCGCGCTGCCAATCATTATCATGCTCAATGGCGTTTTGTGGTCTGAGGCATCTACCATTTGTATCGGGTTATAATAGTGAGGAGCCGTAAGGCCTTCAAGCCGTTCGGCTGTCACGGAGGGGAGGGTATTTGCGCTGATACACGTTGCTTCATACTCGGACAGATCGGTTCTGTTTCAGTCCTATGAAGTTGGTCGGGAGGAAAATATTTTCATCATTTAAAAACCTTGGGCAAGAAGCTAGAGGACATTGGTTTGCTTATCCGGACATGGGTTTGCTTATCCGGACATGGGTTTGCCGTGATACCGCTGAACCCGCTTCAATCATTCAATCGCAGCACCGCAAGAGACGCTTTAAGCTTTGATTCAGCACGGTTCAGGTCAGCTTAGCTCCGGTTCAGCTCAGTTCAGCTCAGCTCAGCTCAGTTTCGGTGCAGCAGGGTTCAGCTCAGCTTAGCCTCGGTACAAAAGGGTTAACCTCAGTTCAGCTTCGGTTCAAGTCGGCTCAGCTTAGGTCAGTTTAGTTAGTTCAGCGTATTTCATTCACGAGAAATTCCCTCCAGCCATGGCTTTTTCTCCATTATTCCATCCCACCATTCATCACTCGGAGCAGTCAGTTTGATTATGCTGTACCACATTGATATATACCACATATGTACCACATATGTTGCACCACGTTGAGAAACTTGACGTCCCTAACATTTATTGAAGTGTTCGTTTGAAGCATTAATTATTCCTGAAATGAGCGCTGAGCATTACGGCATTAGAGTTATTTGGAAATGAAGAGAAATGCCCTTCACTCAGGGCTTTCGCTTTATTACTCCATCCCACCATTCGTTCCTCGGAACAATCAGTTTGATGCATATGTTGTACCCCATTGAGCAAATGGACGTCCCTACCATTCGGGTTGGCGGCAGTGATCAGGGTCTTGCAAGCATGTAATGACTGATGATACAATATAACAATCAGTGTGACCTCTGTTAGTGAATAGTCACTTAGTGAATGGTCACTCTGTATATGAATGCTAACACAACTGCATTTATCAATCAAAACCAAATGACATTCAGAGTAAAGCACTATCGTAACGACTGAAAGCCTGATTTGTCACAGTAGTAGCGAGACCTATTGCCACATGTGACGTGTGACATCCAAGAGGAGACCACGTCACTGGTGACAAAATTGTGGGCACACGTTTTCTGATAGCCCGATGAACCAATACCATTTGTGGATATTATGGAGATGATCGCCACATCCTGTCGACACGCACGCTTGGATGTAAATAACAACCAAGATGATCGTTTCCTGTCCAAAATCAGGCGGGGCAACCCATCGATTCACTAAGCAATTTGAAAATATCGGTTGGTTCCTAAAGTTACCCCAAAGCCAATGCAAAATTGTTGGCTCAAAGCAGTGCAAGAAAATTACCTGTCGTGGATATGCAACCGTTGCGCAATGGCGATGCCTTTGTTTCAAATAAACGGACATTTTAGCGTCCATAACTGAGTTGGTCACTTTGTGCTCGGTAAACCAGATTATTCACCGCACAATTAAATGGGTAGGTAAAATATGGCAAGATGCTGTTTGCATGTTTGGTTTCTTATGCATTCATTTGTGCATATCGGGCACCTTGTACCAACATCATACTATTACTAAGCAAAAAGCGGCATTAAAAATGCACGAGACATTGCGCAAAATTTGCCAGCTCTCTTGTCCGAGCTGTGAAAAATCGATCGGGTTCCAGCAGCTTCCGCCTGTGGTGGGGTCCGGGCTAATTCTGCAATATTGTTTTTGAGTTGTTCGATGTGTAGTGTTTTGTCGATCTCCTCTGTCGCGGCCTGTGGACAACGTCCAAGTGCATGTCGCCGTCCGCACTTAGAGGTAGAAGGTGCTCGCTGCCATCTCTATCAAGGCTCACTTAGAGGAGGAAGGCGCTTGCAGCCATTTCTATCAAGGCTCAGCGTTGGCCCGAGTGCGTAGCGAAGGAGTCCATCTCAACTTCTGTTGTAACTTAATGTACCTTAGTTTTGTTCTATTCGGCCAATGGCGTGGCCCGCTGAACGTAACGGGCTGTTACAGTTGGCGGATCGGTTATGCCTGGGACACACGTTGCAATGCCGGATCACTGTGATCCGACTTTGTGATCCTCACTCGTCACACTACCTCTCCTTCGGTAGCGGAACGGATAGGCGCAGTAAGGCCAGGGCAGTCGGCGCGCTGGAAAGCTCATATTGTCATCATCGACGTCCGATCTCCGGCCGGCGACGCGGCTACAGCCGTGTCAGCTGGGACGGCACCGTCTTCCACGCGTCCCAGCGCGGCGGGTCCTGAAGGGTTTTGCGGGCGCGCCGCGGCACCCGCATTCGCCCGCATCGGGCCGAGGCGCCACGCCCCGAGGTCATCGACTAACGCGGCCGGTCACCGACCTGGCGCCAGCGGGGGGGGGCACCCACCTGCCGGGCCCGGCGGCGGCAGCCGAGGGGGGGGGGGGGGGGGACGCGGCGGCCTGGCACGCGCCGCTGTTGTGTTTGCGTCCGCCGGCGCCGCACAGCTGGCGCCACTGGCATCGTGCCAGGCGTCGGGGACGCGCGGCGGACATTGTGGTGCAGCTCTCGACCCTCAGGGGGTTTTTAGGCGCCGCAGATGGCTGGAGGTCAGGGGTGTCAATAGTGTTTTGTGGCAGCTTTGCTGTGCGTTTGTGCAGGGGGGGGGGGGGGGGTAAATGAACTATTGGCACAGTAGCCACAGTAGGGTGATTGCTGGCGCCAGGGCGCACACTTTAAGCCAAAGAATGCATGAGAGAGTTCTGTCTTCTCCAGCGTCTTTGCGGGAGATATCGGCGGAACGCTCCGGAGGACCGCTGTTCGGCGCTCAACCCCGAGGCCGCTCAAGCACCGGGCCACGACTTTGGGTCCGCACCAGGGCCGAGACGCTTCAGCCTCAGGCAAGCCTCATAACATGTCAAAGCATCCAAGGCGTTTCAAGGCTGCCCAGCCACTGCGGCCGCGGCGAAGAGCGTCCTGGAAGAAGGTCCTGAAGAAGAAGGTCCTAGCGCTTTCGCCCAGACGCAATGCAGCTCAAGTACCCATAGAACCTCTGGAGACTTTGCCCGTCCATGAACCACTGCCTACATGTACGCCTTCCCTCCGGGATAGTCGACTTCGTGGCGTGGTATGATATGGTGCCCGACGTCGCCTCTTCTTGGATTTCCCCGTGTAAGTTTCCATCGTCGGACTGCGCGAGGTCACATCGCGCCGCCTCTGCTCGTTAACGCCATCGGGAGGCTTGGCCGGTGTCGCCTCCTCGGATGCGGGGCTCATCCGACGTCTAATCTGAAACGAACAGGTTTTGAGCGCAGCTCCCAGCTCCCGGACACCAGGCCGACCTTCGACCCGATTGTCGTGATCCGGATCTCCGTTAGCGCCCACTTAATCCGCCGTCGGCGCCTGCTGGATCGGCCGGCACCTCGCTGGATCGGCCGGCGCCACGCGGAACTGGACGGCGCCCCGCGGGATTGCCCCGGCGCCTCGCTGGATCGGCCGGCGCCACGCGGAACTGGACGGCGCCCCGCGGGATTGCCCCGGCGCCTCGCTGGATCGGCCGGCGCCACGCGGAACTGGACGACGCCCCGCGGGATTGCCCGGCGCCTCTCTGGATCGGCCGGCGCCTCGCACCAGCGACCGGCGCTTACTGAATCAGCCAGCGCTCCGCTTTCTCGCCCGTGACCACTGGCGGTAACCTATCAGCGGCAGGCGCGCAGTGGCGACAGCCGGGAGCGCTTTCTTGGCCGGCTGGCGTTCTATTGGCGGGCTATACTGGCCCTGGTCGGCCGCCCGGCGCCCTGGGACGACCCGTCACGTCCGGTGGGGACACGAGGCGGAGGGGGGGGGGGGGGAGGACGAGCTGTACGAGGCGGGAACTTCGGGATGGTGTCGATGCGTGGTTTGTGGGGCAAAGTCCACCCGCTTTGGAGTTATTCATTTGTTGGCTGCAATTCGGGTGCGTGCCGGATTGTTGGTTTGGGGGATCGTGTTCTCTTATTTCGATTAATATTGAGGCAGAATAATAAATTATGCTACATCCACAGTGCCTATGTCGGGTAGGCAGACGCTCTGCATCCGTCGCAGACCCCTTAGCCTGCGCAGCTTTCCTATGAGAGGAAAGGAAAGGAGAGGAAAAAATTCCTCCTAGAAATTTGTGCCTCCTTCGCACTGAGCTTGTCGTGGATATCGCGAACGATTCCGCTGTGCTTCTGGTCTTCAGACTGCTTCGGGTCTTTGGAAACATTTCTGTTACATTGCAACGTTACGTTATGGCCACGATCCGGCCCGGTGGGCCAAAATGTTAGTTCGCCAACATGAAATGGACGAAAAACGTATGTATTGCAACTAAAGTAACATTGCATTGCCCTTTTCTTCTGGCTGAACGACCGCGATCGACAAGCAGCAATTTCGTAGAGAAAAACACTTGCACGAGACATAAAATTCGCGCGCAAGCAAGAGCACAGGCCTGTCTCTTGCGAAACGACACCATCCTAACCTTGCCGCACGCTAACTTTCACATAAAACCAAAAAGGATTTTAGCGATGAGTGCATTTAGACATGGCAGACGACAGACATTCTATAGGTTCTAATAATGAAAGCGCTCCTCTGATGTCACGTTCCCGGACTACATTTTTATCTACGGGTTCGCTTCCTTCGCCCGGGATGCGGTAAAGTTTTTGGCAAATTTTTATCCTTTGGGCGTTTTGTGCTTGGTTTCGTTCAACTTTATACTTGTCTTCACTTTTTGTTTTAATGATTTATCGTGTCCTGTCTTCTTCACCATTGATAAATTCCCTACTGCCTTGCTGCAACCAAATGCAGGATAAAGTCGTTCTGTAAAACACATCGCACCAAGTGAAATGGTGCCTTGAACTCTGGAACAAGCATCGTGCAGCGTCATTTGCACTCCAGTCTCCGGCAGGAGAGGTAGCTCTACACCCACGACATGTTTCTGCTCCGGAGTGGTGCGGCAATATTCCTTCTGGTAGTGCTCGGGGTTCCAGCTCCGTGCGACGGACTGTGCTGTCATTCGTTGGTAGGACAAGTCGCCGACCTGAACCGGATGGTCAGTGAACTCTCTACGGCCGTGAACTCGGCAGTGCTGCCGCGGTTAACCGACATGCAGGCCCAGATGCGAAACCTTACGTTGCAGCGGCAGACGTGCGCGTCGCTGGTCGACAAGCCACTGGCCCGCGACTGCAGCGACCTGCCGACTGGCTCCCCCAGCGGAGTGTACCGGGCGTGGTTGAGTGGGCTGCCTAGACCGGTGCCGGTGTACTGTGACATGTCCAAAGACGGCGGCATGTGGACCGTCTTCCAGCGGCGCGCCGATATTACACCCAGACAGAACTTTTATCTCAACTGGCAGTCCTACAAGATTGGATTCGGTAAGCTCGATGGCGAATTCTGGTGGGGCAATGAACACCTGTTCCGGCTAACCTCGCAAGGTGGCCGACGGTACCAACTGCGCATTAACCTGGAGGACTTTAAGGGTGGAAAAAGGTACGCCTTATACCGGAACTTCAAGATCGGGCCAGAGAGTGATGGTTACCGCCTGCACGTGAGCGGCTACACGGGAAACGCCGGCGATAGTTTCGCTGGATTTCACAATAATGCGCGTTTCACTACAAAGGATAGGAACAACCAACAGCCGCGGGGATCAAGTTGTGCTCAGAGATATAAGGGTGCCTGGTGGTACAAGTGGTGCCACGAATCCAACCTGAACGGACGATACCTTTCCGGACCGCATCGATCGTTCGCCGATGGCATCGAGTGGAAGCGTTGGACAGGATACCGTTATTCCCTGAAAGCAGTGGAAATGAAGATCAGGCCAGTATAGAAGTAAGGGTTTCAAGCCAAAAACTTGCTTGAGTGACATGTACTCACCCCGACGGCATTTGTGATGGAAAGCAAAGAGGTCTGTGCTTGAAATGCTTGCATGAGGCTTGTAGAAACTAGAATAATCAAATTGTCTGTGCTTCTGGAACCCAACGCAAACAAGCAAATATATGTATCACGTTTCGCAGATCTGTAAGCCTCTGCCGAATCTTCCACATAGTGTTGTGTTTGCATGGTTACATGGACGATCAGAAACAAGTGTATCCATCCAATACTCGACTTATACACCTTGCAGCTTCACATCTGTTTGACTCCGCAAGTAACAGTTGTATCAAACGTTAAAGGCTTTGCCTAGCGCGAGAACATAGCAGTATCGTAGGTGTCAGGGCACGTGGCTCCTCGCTTAGGTCCTGAGGGGCGGCAGGAGCCCGAAGGGTCCTGAAACCGACAAGGAAGTACCCGATTTGCTCTCCAGAAGAGTCCGAATAGCTGCCCATATGTCGCATGTAGAATCCCCGCCCGAAGGGACGTGACCCCAGGTTTTGGTAAGAGGGTTTCTTGACTGATTAGCGCAACATTCGACTGACGATAAGGACACGCTTTGGTACTCGTTGGCATTTCGGGTGTCTTATTGGTCCCAGAGATTACCGACACCGAGCGACCGGTGAATGACTCCCTGTCGGTCTGAGCCCTGTGGGCCTGTTTCCGAAGTAGTGGCAATGCCGGGGCGATTTGCATTGGTCGGGGCCCCTGAAACAGGGAGGGGCGTGTTGGTTATTGGTCTACAGTGCCTGGCAGGTTAGTTCAGGTCAGCTAGTTGTATTCATGAATCATTTCAACAAGTGGCTTTTGTTTGATTCGACATCATTTAAATAGTAATTTAAATGCGGCAGTAGAACATGACAACAACGTGACCACATTCGCACGTTGTTAGTCTTCCAGTCGTTTACTCATGATGGTCAAAATCCAAATGATTAATATGTAGGCTCCAAATGATTAATAATAGGCTCCCCCAGCGGAGTGTACCGGGCGTGGTTGAGTGGGCTGCCTAAACCGGTGCCGGTGTACTGTGACATGTCCAAAGACGGCGGCAGGTGGACCGTCATCCAGCGGCGCGCCGATATTACACCCAGGCAGAACTTTTATCTCAACTGGCAGTCCTACAAGATTGGATTCGGTAAGCTCGATGGCGAATTTTGGTGGGGCAATGAACACCTGTTCCGGCTAACCTCGCAAGGTGGCCGACGGTACCAACTGCGCATTAACCTGGAGGACTTTGAGGGTGGGAAAAGGTACGCATTATACCGGAACTTCAAGATCGGGCCAGAGCGGGATGGTTACCGCCTTTACGTGAGCGGCTACACAGGAAGCGCCGGCGACAGTTTCAGTAATCATAACAAGCATCGTTTCTCTACACGCGATAGAAACAATCAACATCCGCGGAGAGCAGTAAGTTGTGCTCAGAGATATAAGGGTGCCTGGTGGTACACGTACTGCCACGCATCTAACCTGAATGGACAATACCTTTCCGGACGGCATAAGTCGTACGCCGATGGCATTGAGTGGAAGAGCTGGAAAGGATACTTTTATTCCCTGAAAGCAGTGGAAATGAAGATCAGGCCAGTGTAGAAGTAAGGGCTTCAAGTTAATAACTTGCTTGGGTGATGTGTGCTCAGCCCGACGGCATATGTGATGGAAAGCGAGGAGGCCCGTGTTCGAAGTGCTTGCATGAGGCTTATAGAAACTAGTGTAATCAAATTGTCTGTGCTTCTGGAACCCAACGCAAACAAGCAACCATTTGTATCACGTTCTGCAGAAGATTTGTAAATCTCCGCCGAATATTCCACATAATGTGATATTTGCATGGTTACGTAGACGATCACAAATAAATTTATCCATCCAATACTCGACTTAACACCAAACAACTTGACATCTGTTTGACTCTGCACCCGGAGTTCCCGGGAGTTCCCGATTACCAGCTGAGGAGACCTGGGTTTTATTACCAGCTGAGCAGCGCTTCGGAGTTAATTATTTGCTGGCTGCAGTTCGGGTGCTTGACGGATTATTTGTGTTGGTGTCGTCTTCTCTGATTTCGATCAATGTTGAGGCAGATATAACGCATGATGCTACATGCACAGTGGCTCTGTCGGGTCGGCAGACGCGGAAGAAGCATGAAGCTCATCTGTTGCTGATAAATCTGGTGGCATCATTTATGTTATGTTTCACGGCACTGGGTTAGCTAGCTCTTCATAGGTATGTCGTTGCCCACACCCCTAATTTAGCCAGGCATGCGATGGATATCGTCGAGTGGGCTGTGGCTCGTTGGCTCCACACCATATACGTGACCATCGGCGGCGACAAATCAAGTATGCAGAATACAAATGGAAAAGTTCGCCCCTTGCCAGGAGAGCCTTACGCGTTATGAGGTCTGTTTATATATATATATATATATATATATATATATATATATACCTATATATACTTATACACATAGAGATGTATATATGTACATATATCGGTACAGCCGTGCCCAGTCACACCTTGACTCAAGGTGCCATGATATTAAAATCATGCTCCGTCCGTGCTGGCCGCCCACCCAACAGTCCTCGCTCGCTCCGCCCCTCGCCCGCTCGATGCCCTTGACCCCGCTGTGCCCGCGGGCATGAGCCGACCGAGCGCCCTCGACACACAAGGTGTATGGCACGGTGAAGATTCTTTCGTGCTATTTGGATAAGGTACCGAGGCAAAATGGATCCATTGGACGTGCAATACAATAAGCGGATTGGGGTTCCAAGCGGTAGCAAGTAATTGTCTTCAGCACGACATGAGGTTAAAAGTGTGTAGCGGCAAAATTTTCTTTTTTTCCAACTCGTTTCTCATTTCATAGGTGAACTTGACCTATAATCTGAACTGATGATACCGTGCCACCAAAAAACGATGTCGCCCGGTTTAATTTTCTTTTAATGCCTTCCAAGAAAGCAGTTCGGCTCCCAACTTCAAGTAAACCAATGCCATGACGTGTTCGATATACGCGCCGGTACGGTACAGACAAAATTTGGTAAAGGCGTCTGCACGATACAGTTGGATTCAAGCCGTTGTCTGCGTAGGTTGCCGAAATCTGACATCTGTCAGGAAAACCTTAGAGCCATCGAATCCTCGGCTCTCGCGCGAACGCACTTGCGACTCAACGCGTATCGTTTCACACCCTAGCCTGGACGATTACCCACTCCTTTCTACGTCTAAATGTGTTTCGCTGCGATTTTATCTCAAAGCTCCGTTTCTCTGCGAGCTCACGTTGCCGAGCTGGGGGCCGAATTTTGATATGCGATTCGGCGATTTCTCTCACGTTGACAATTTCGCGCTTCCGGAGTTAAGGGGAATGTTTCACATATGTATCGGATTTTGAACTGAAATAGCCATCTTAAAGATCATTTGGTGTAGTACACGGCCCTGCACTTTTCAAGACGTAAATTTTGTCCAGTCTGAGCTACACGCCAAAAATATGTGCAGACTGTTTCGTTGTGACAATGTTAAGGTCACCCAGGCATTCATAACGTCATCATAACTTCATTAAAATCCTGTCATTCTATTAGTCGCGCAGTGGCAATGGCCAAGGAAAATACAGATATGGATTCATTCACATCTGGCATTCGTGAGCAGGGTTTCGAGATATAACAGCCGTTACTTGGCTCGCAATCATTGATATGCAGGGTACGATGACATGAGCAAACAGTTACGGATTGAGGAAATATTTACTAAACATGGACATTATGTTGTCTAGAGCAGCCTCTTAAACTTAAAAGCGTACCAATAGCTTTTCTTAGTTTTATTTCACCATATTTGAGGTCTTTTAATGCCTTCGAATGTGGAACATTCTAGTTAAACCAATGGCGTACTTGTGCACGCACCGGCGGCACCTCGCCAGTCAGATCTTATCCATAATTAAAAACAATGATGACCTGTGGAAGTTCGCTAACATGACATAAACGAAAAACAACTAGAATACAACTAAATGAACGAAGCAATGCCCTCCACGTCGTTCTCAACGAGCGCGAACGACAAGCAGCAATTTGGTACAGAAATATACTTCCACGAGACCGAAAATTTGCGTGCAAGTTAAACACAGATATGTCGCTTGCAAAGTGATATCTTTCGCCTCCAGGGGGCAGGGAGGCAGAGAAAAAGAGAGGTCAGAATGATCGTTATCACGTGCCGTCCTCTTCGCGCACATAGATCCGTCCCGCCCGGCGGTGCACCTCGCCGCCGCGGTCCCGTATGGGTGCCAATCGCCCTCGGCTGTCCCGACCCGGCAACACCTCTGACACGCGGCCAGCCGGCCTTCGCCGACGCGCCACGTCGTCTTCCACTAGCAGGACTGGGTCTCCACGTGTCAAGTTGCTGGTTTCGCAGCGACCCTTTCCGGTGCTCTTTAAAGTGCCGTTCCCGTGGTCTACTGTCGACGTAATGTCATTTCTGACTGCTCGTCCTTCGCACGGCATGATCTGTTGCGGCACTGTGAGACCCAGTGGCCCTTCCCTCGCCAAGGCGTTTGAAGCAGCGTTTGCCGTCTCGCATTAGTCTAGATCTATCGCCGGGAGACCTTTCCTGCAACTGGTGACCCTCCTACAGTCGATGCGTCTCTCCCGCACGCGGAGCAGGCGTTACGGCGCCCTGGGTGGCCAGCGTCGTCCGCCGAGACACACCGCGGCTCGTGACTGGAGCCGTTAGTCTGCGCGCCCACTGCAAGTGTCGATATCCAACTCCTGGGCCGCTCATACGGTTCTGCTTCCTCTAAGTCTCTTCGGAGTTTCGCAGCGAGCTTGCGATGCAGCAAGTCACCGCCGTCAATCTTCCGCTGCTTTACCTTGTTTGAGGAACCGTGACCAGTCCCCACGCCTTTCCGGCGGTCGCCTTCCTCCCCAACCAGCTCCTGTGGTCACATCTCCTCCTTTTCAACAAACTGCAGCTCACGGTCATCTACCGCTGCCGAGTCGGCAGCCTTACGTACCTCTGCACGAGCCTTACCTACCTAGCGCCGGCTGTTGCTCCGCTTTGGTTGCTACCATCGCTGCCCACTTCTATGCCTCAAATGCACGTTTTGTATTCTTCGCAGGTCCCTTAGCTTATGCATCTCTTCTTTGAGAAATGTGTGCCTAACTGTTCGCGGATATCGCGAACAGTTCCGCTGTGCTGCTTCTCTTCAGACTGTTCGAGCCTTCGGAGACATTTTTTGTTACATTGCAACGTTACGTTATGGCCATGATCCGTCCCGGTGCGCCTAAATGTTAGTTCGCTAACATGAAATGGATGAAAAACGTAGGCATTGAAGCTGAAGTAACCTTACATTGCCCTCCACTTCTCGCTGAATGACCGGAGTAGACAAGCAGCAATTTCGTAGATAAAAACACTTGCACGAGACCCAAAATTCGCGCGCAAGTTAGAGCACAGATCTGTCTCTTGCGAAGCGACGAATTCCTCGTCACGTAAAATCAAAGAAGGTTTTTGTGATGAGTGAATTTAGGCGCGGTAGACGACAGACATTCTAAAGGTTATAAAATCGAAAGCACTCCCTCGTTGTCACGTTCACAGGCTCCATTTTTTCTGCAATTTTGATTGCTTCGCCCATGATGCGGTGACGTTTTTGGTAAATTTGCATCCTTGGGCCTTTTTGTGTTTAGTTTCGTTGAACTTGATGCTTGACTTCATTTTTGTTTTCAATGTTTATCGTGCCTCTCTTCTTCATTGATAATTTCCCTACTGCCTTGCTGCAACCACATGTAGTATAAACCCGTTTTGTAAGGCACACTGCACGAATTGATATAGTGCCTTGAACTGTCGAACAATCATTGTGCAGCATCATTTGCACTCTAGTCTGCCGGCAGCAGAGGTAATTCTACACCCACGACATGTCTCTGCTCCGGATTAGTGCGGCATTGTGCCTTCTGCTAGTGCTCGGGTTTCCAGCCCTGTGCGACGGGCACTGCTGTCAAGCGTTGGCAGGAGAGGTCGCCGACCTGAAGCGGAGGGTCAGTGGAGTCCCTGCGGCCGTGACGTCGGCATTGCTGTCGCGGTTCGTTCACATTGAGACCCAATTGCGAGACCTTAAGCTGCAGCGGCCGGCCTGCGCGTCGCTGGTCGACAAGCCACTGGCCCGCGACTGCAGCGACCTGCCGACTGGCTCCCCCAGCGGAGTGTACCGGGCGTGGTTGAGTGGGCTGCCTAAACCGGTGCCGGTGTACTGTGACATGTCCAAAGACGGCGGCAGGTGGACCGTCATCCAGCGGCGCGCCGATATTACACCCAGGCAGAACTTTTATCTCAACTGGCAGTCCTACAAGATTGGATTTGGAAAGGTCGATGGCGAGTTCTGGTGGGGCAATGAACACCTGTTCCGGCTAACCTCGCAAGGTGGCCGACGGTACCAACTGCGCATTAACCTGGAGGACTTTGAGGGTGGAAAAAGGTACGCCTTATACCGGAACTTCAAGATCGGGCCAGAGAGTGATGGTTACCGCCTTCACGTGAGCGGCTACACGGGAAACGCCGGCGATAGTTTCGCCGGATTTCACAATAATGCGCGTTTCACTACAAAGGATAGGAACAACCAACAGCCGCGGAAACCAAGTTGTGCTAAGAGATATAAGGGTGCCTGGTGGTACAAGAACTGCCACGAATCCAACCTGAACGGACGATACCTTTCCGGACCGCATAAATCGCACGCCGATGGCATCGAGTGGAAGAATTGGAAAGGATACCGTTATTCCCTGAAAGCAGTGGAAATGAAGATCAGGCCAGTATAGAAGTAAGGGTTTCAAGTCAACTCGCTTGAATGATATTTACTTAGCCCGACGGCATAGGCATAGGTGAAGGAAAGCAAGGAGATCTGTGCTTGAAATGCTTGCACG